ATTGACACTACGAACTGTGAACTGTAAAAATTTTTTAGCAATTGAAGGCACTTATAAGTAAGTAAAAAAAATTAATGATTTATTTTTTAAAAATTTATTGAATTATTCAACAATAAATAAAGTTTTATTTGCTTAAAAAAGTTATAAATTGATTGCTTAGCGGCATTAATAAAATAATTATTAATAAATACATTTATAAAATTTACATGTAATATACACGCACAAATACATTTAAGTTTTTATACTGCACAACTATAAAAAATTTGTTTATAAAGTACACAGTTTATAAAGATCATTAAGCAACTAATAGTGTGTGTTGTTTCAGTAATTATGATCACAGTGAACTTAAGTATTTAAAGTCTCTAAGATTAAATGTATTTAATGATTGTATAAAAATTACATATCGTGGTTTTTAGGCAATGAGAAGTGAACATATTGTTTAGTAGGTAAAAATTCTAAAGGTGAACTAATAAAGTTATTAAAAGTGCGATAAGATGCATTTCATAAGTACTTATTTTTACAAGTGAGTGAAGTTCAGTCTTATTTTTATACTATTTAATTTTGCTACATACTCCTTACTCTTTTCGCTTGCTCGGTGTGGTTAATGTATGCTATGTACTTGTCGACTAGACCAACGACTATCTCTTCTACACGGATTAGTTCGTGGTTGTGTTTTGCGTTTCTTGTCTAGTTTTGTAACGCTGTGCGTAATCATGACGTCGATCATTAAGTTCGCAGGAAAGCGTGGAAAAAAATGTAGAACTCACGTTTATCAGTGCTCTGCCACCAGAAATAACGCAAGTACACTCTATCTCGGTTGGACGTGCGATATATAGTTTCTTATCCGATTACTATATTTTAGTTAGTTCTCGACACTTTTCCGAATTCTTCTGCAGTTTATCGTAGTGGCGCGAAGGACGCCGGTAGGTTAACAATAGATTTTCAGTAAGTATTGCACTCTCATAGTCAATTTCGGATTAATAATACCTGTTCGTCGTCAGATGCTGCGATGATGTTTTAGTTTTTTCTCCGTCTCATCACATAATCCCGGCATAATGAATTCTCAAATGATAAATAAAATTTATATTCCTTGTCAAGCATCTCATCGCATTCACTTTCCTTATATGGGCAACTGCAAATTAAATTAAAGAGAGATTAATAATTTTTTAATGTTTATATTATAATATTTTTACTAACAAATGTTTAATTTATAAATGTTAATGTTGCATATATGTATAAATATTTAATAATTTTAATTAACTTAATTATAATAATCATTCTTATACTATGTTTCTACTGCTCACTTAGTAAATTACTTGAGTAACTAAGATTTTATCGTTTCCATTGATAAAAGTTACTTATTGAATTTTTTTTTTATTTATTAACAAACTGTCTTTATAGAATCACTTTAAATTAAAGCCTAACAATAAGTTTTAGAATTTTAAGGACTAATAACATTACATTACAAATTATTTTAAAAAACATACTATAATGATTTATATAATGATTTGTAAATTATTTAACGAGGCTTTCGAATAAGTAGCCAGGTCTTAAACAGGATAATCCTTAGGAAAGCAAAATGGCAGTCTATCATTCCGTTTCAGCATAGAGGAATTTATCATATTAGTAAGAGGTCTAGCCAGCGAATTCACATGGTTTTCAAGATTTGAAATATGTTTCTGCCTTATTTTCTTGATTTTAACCATCGGAACTTCCAAATCGAAATGTATGCTCTCATTTCTGATAAACTAGGGTGCACCAACCATCTGTCTTAGAATCATTGCTTGAGCTCTTTCCAAGATTTCTACGTTTGCCGAACAGGCATTGCTATATAACTTATTGCATGTGAAAGGAATTTTATGTGTGAGAAAGTTCTTTAAAAATACTAAGAGAGCTTATGTTTGTTTAAAAAAATTTCACTCAATGTAATATCACACAAAAAATTGAATACACAATTGACATATTACATATTCAATTTATAAAAGCTGTTGTTTGTTTACAATTTACATAAAAATCATTTAACGATTATTTAAACTTTTGATAATTTCCCCTGTGGGAAGTTTATTTTTAAGGGTTGCATTCAAAATTTTTTGCCTTAAATGAGTTGATTTATTGCTAATGAGCTGCTTTATATGAAAGCTTCTTGTATGGATTTACCATACATCCTCATTAGTGGCTATAATGAATAAAATCGTATAAATGAGACAGTGTGAATGTGCTATTAACTTAGCTAAAAAGGATGAATGCTCTTTGTATGGCTAATTAAACTTAATTAGCGAGCTTAAGTAGATAAACTGGTCTAATGAAGGCAGTGGAAACATATAATATCATAGACCAGAATGCATATGGAAGTTATTTTCCCTCACTACCTATTTGTTAATATTAATATTATTAATGTTTATCTATACGTTATTACAATAATTGTTCTCAATTACATTATGAGACCATACTATATATTTCTCTGCAAAATATATTTAAAAACTGCTTATTACGTTGTAACTAATTAGTGATAATGCAAATTTCCTAGTACATTAAAACAGGAAATAAAATAAAATATGATAGCTTTAAAGCTTGATAAATTATTGTTACTGAAAGCTTTAATAAATTAATGTAATAAATGAACAAGTAAATGCATAATATATTTATATACATATGCGAAAAATAAACGAGTTTCATATTAAGTACATTAATATACACAATTTGATATTAATTCTTATTATTGTCGCCTATATATGTTGTATTCCTTATATGAAATAATTCATCACAGAATTTTGACGTGCGCTAGGTATTAGGTATTCGTTATATTTGACATCAATGTTAATAAATTTAAAATAATTAATAATTTTAATTAGAGCACAATATATTCCTGTTGAGTCTTTTTCAAGTTAGTACATCTGGGCACTTTTACTCTTTGCTATCTGGGGGATTTCTGCAGAGTTCCACCCTTCTCATTGACTTATTTATGTATTCCTCAAAAACTTTGTGTTTATTCGATGACCGATCTGCGCACCGCCCCGTGCGGTTAGATATTATTCTGAGATTAGATAGTGCTAACTAGAGCAGCCTGTCGGTTTTTGCGAATAGCTTCCGAGCTCTGTCCCTTATGTATTTTCTGACCCGCTCTATTCTAAGGTCTACAGTTGTAATATAGTAGATCACTCGTCATATTGGATAGTATAAAAATTTTTAAACCATTCACAATGATAATTACAAATCACGATATATTATTTATAGTAAATAGTCGGCTTTTCGCAGACTCTTACGAAATTCAATTTTACCGCATTAAGATTACTAAAAAGTGTTGAATAAATGGTAAATGCAAAATTAAAGTTTAGACTGTCTTGTGGGTACGTCAAAAATACAGCCTCAAAACTTCCTCAAGTTTTAATGGGCAACTAAAGAAATATACGCGTTGGTACCGTTGTTATGACCGTTAGTTTAGTGTGGTCCAACTTTTATTTGATGCAGTTACCTGTCAATTGTTCAACTTAAAATGATTTGGTTTAGCTTATAACAAGAACAGCAGGAACTTATAATGTACATGATTCTTTTAGTTCAAATAAATTAGCAATATTTTCTTCCGTATCATCAACGCCGGCTTTGCAACAGTGTGGATACCCTTAACGTGCTTCAACCATGTTTTTCCATACCACATAATCGTACAAATTACATTTTATAAAATATAAATAAATAATAAATAATATGGTTTTGTTTCAACAACAAGTCCCATAAATAAATACCATTCAGTCAATTTTTTTTGACTACTGTTTATAGAAGAATGCAATAAAAGATATATAAGATGTTGCCATTTAAGTGGAACAGAGTTTTTCTAAACGCATGTAACTACAAAGAAAACTTACTGTCCTTCGAATAAATACCAGAGTGTCAACTTTTAAGGATTTCTTAACATCATAGGATGTTTTATAGGTATAGATACAGATATGGGTATAGGATTTTCCGATCTAAGAGCTGATATTTTTTCGGAGACAGTTTGTTTGTTGAGCTGATAACACAGACCATGATAACCCGTTAAATAACCCAGTAACAACCTGACCTAGTATTGAGGAAGGACGCACACTATCGTACCTATACGAACAACTCAGCTAACATAGTGGATACCTGAAATATTGCCTCCAGATATATTGTGTGTAGTAAACACATATTGATGTTCTCTTTATAACTAGATTTAAACAGTTGTTAACTGTTGTATTGGTCTTTCTTTACTTTTTCAGAACTCCATTGAGTTTTTATTTTTTCTAATCAGAATCAATCGATATAAGTCAAACAAAAAATTTTGTTTAATTTCAGAACAAACAACCAATATGTTTTTAACTGTAGACTAACCGATTTAAAACTCCAGAATTTAATGTATCAAGCCATTTTATAAAATTACACGCAATCTTTTTTCTAGGTAACAAATCCAGGTCATTTTATTTTGGATCTGTAAGCATAATAAGAATTTTTTGCAGATGAATATGTAATTGACATTACTAAACCACTATACCATTACTCTATTACTGTAATACTGTTTACTCTTGGACTTACAGAACCTGTTTACTGAATTATTGTATGGATTTTGTATGGGATTTTGAAAAATAGCACATATTGCTGTAAACTTGTTGAATTAAATACAATAGTGTAAACAGAACACCAGCTGTTATTAAAACATATAGAAAGGTTTAAAATCTTCAACATTATTATTACAAATCTGCAGAGCTACACAACATTTACTGACTCATCAGCACTCTGAATACCGGACCTCGAAGCTATTTTTTACTTTAAATTTATTAAAAATTAGTTAAAATTAGAACAAATTAAGTATTCGACTTTAAACTTAGTTAAAAAATTTATGTACTCAAGTAATGGTAACAATTAATCTAAATTTGAAATTAATTATTATTCTTGATAAGGTTCTGATTATTTTTCCGTTAAAATATGTATATCCCAATATAAATGGAAACCAAATATGACAGATTCTTAAAATGATAAACATGCTAAATTTGATATATCAAAAATATTTAATTAATCGATGTTTTATGATTAATATCAATTAAATAACTATAAGTAGCCCATAACTTATTTTTATGGTTTCAATAAAAAAAGGAACTGAGTATATTTTAGCTTTCACAGCTGAGCACAAGAGGGCGTGGCGCAGTCTTGAAAAACGTTTTGATAAAATCTAAATAGTCGGTTTATCAAATACGTGCTTTAATGATTCAAATACTTTTATTTGTTTTTTATGTCTAATTATGAATGTTGACGAATGTTGAATAATAACAATAATAAGTAACTTAAAATATAAAATGGAATGAAATAAAGTTATAAGCTCCATAAAAATATAAATTCAAAATAAAAAAATTTGTAAAAAATATCAAAAGTCATACTTGTACATTCATTTAGCATTTCATTTCAAGCGTTAAAGTTAATTAACTATTTCCATTAATCATGAAGGGTCAAAGTTTGTTTTTTTAATTTATTTTGAGCAGCAGAAACGTTTATACAGATGTTTTCTAGAGAAGTTTTTTTTCATATTATTTGATATTAATTTTTCTGGAGAAACAATAATTTTGCTTATATTCTATATTCTTCTAAATGTCATTTCAAATATAAATAAAGAATGTATTTTACCGGGGTCATATACCCCGTCATTCACAACATATGAGTTCACTACAAATACCTTTTTACCTTGAAATGTATCTAGTATATTATAAACACAAGTATCTTAAAATATATCTAATAAAGATTTTATAGATTTATACTTTAATGTTAAAATTAAATGCATAATTGATTTAATATAATTAACTAAGTAATTTAGTCACACGTTAAAAATGTGTATAAAAATAAAATGAATTTATTACAAGTATGGAAGAGTATGGAAGAACTTTTGGCCAGATTTAAGTAAGAGCGAAGACATTGGACGATCTATCAATATGGTGAATTAGTGGAAGAAATAATAGAATTAGCGAAACAAACAGGTTTACATGAGGTAAATGTGAAAGACATCGAAGTAATAGTTCAACAGCTAATCTTTCTAATGAACTCAAGGAATCTACTGAGCAAGAAGAAAACAAAAATATTGATAGCAGTGATTTCGAAGAAAAGCAAAAAGTAATTCTCATGGGAAAGTTTGACCACTACAACTGAAATTATGGACCCATTTGTTGAAAATGAGAAGTTCAAAATCAAGACGGGATGTTATAGATAACGCAAAAGAAAAACGCAAACTACATTAGATGCCTTTTTGACAAAAAGGCAGAAAATTGGAAACACAGAATAGACAAAATGGTCTGACTGACTTAGAATTTTATTTGTTTTTATATATATTCGTTTACATTGCTTTTGTTTTTGTAAGAAATAAACATTTAGTTTTATTATTATTAAAAAAAAAATAATTATTAAATTTATAACCTAAGCAATTTTCTATCAATTTTCCCCTAACCCCATTTATATGTTAAGATAGCATCGTTTAGCGCTGTACACTCTATTTTGATGGAACGTATCTTACGCGCTAAGCAAGATCTTACTGTACTTTGTGGACGACAGTAATGAAGAATATGTTAATTAATAATCCTTGGCAATGGAATAAAAAAAGAAGAAAAAGAAAATAATAGTGCCGTGGAAATTATGGAAATTATCTAAAAGAACGAACATAAAAAGTATGCATCGTAAATTTTTCGTTAGGAAAGCGTTTCATATAAAAAAAATATTCAATGTTTTTTTTTAATTATTTTTGATATAAATTAAATGATAATACCAAAAACATGAAAAAGTTTTAAGCATTAAAATATTTTAATTATCATAAAATCTATAAAATTAAGCCAAAATAAACTTCATATTATTTTAATTTTTTTGACTTTATTATTTATTTATTATTTTATTTTATTAATATTTTTATTCAGAAGTAGGATATAATGCTAATTTAAACACATTAAATAATCAGCAGGCCCCTAAAAGTTGTAGTAAAAAATCATTTAACTTTCTTAACATATCTAGAATAATTTTATTTATATAATACAGTTAAGGTTTAAAATATCACAAATACTTTTATTGATTTAAAATAACGCAATAAATAAAATAAATTTTATAACCTAAATATATATAAAAGTCAATGAATATGTAACTGAGTTATACACAACAAACAAATTAAAAACTCTTAATTAATTAATAAAGAATGCAAAAAACAAAAAAATAAATTAATTAAATAAAGATTGTAAATGGTGTTGTAGTCATACTTGATGTCAATTAAGTATTTATTATACTTGAACTTTGTAAATTGTTATAGACACTATACGTGTACTCGTATGTTTTCCGAAATATTATACTAATTTCCTAAAATTATATCTAACTATTTTCCTTTTTTAAATTTAATAAGAGAATCTGTGTTCAAATCAACAATAAATAAAGTTTTGATACCTAGATGAATATATATACTACTATATATACTTTTCCAGTACTTTGATCTACTAACGTCAATGATTAGTAGAGCAATATTTGCTATAATAGACACTTTATAGAAAAACGCAATAGAAAAACAATCGTTATATATTTAGTTGGCGTATATAATTTACTCTGAACCATAATTATGTTATATATGTTGCGATAATTCCAGTACAGTCGTTAATACTTGAGGGGTACACAAAGTAATATTTGAACATATTAGACATCAGATATATTAAAATAGAGCGTTTGAAGAAAAAATATCTGGAACTAGCAGAAAATATCGCGAACTTGAACGTTCATAAGTACGTATTATTTATAATATTTATTGATAAAATTAACATATCGCAACTGCTTTAATTTGATAAAGCTTATTCATTTCACATATTTTACTGCAAGCACACAGATATATTAGTCATAAAGTCAAATTAGTCATTAAAATAATAGTAAAATTATTTATGGCCTTCCCTAATGCTAGATTTTTTTATAATGAATAAATAACATAACTTAAATAAAAATTATTACTTTTGAAAAAAATTTAACTGGTTTTAAAGTTTTAAATGAACATACCTCAAATCACCACATTCTCCATATATATCCACATCAACAAAGTTCTTTAATGCTTCTGCTAACTGTTCTCGCTGCGATAATGTATTACAATGCGAAACAAACCAAGCAGCAGTTTTGTTCTTTCCGGACCATAAATTCCATATGGCTGTATTATTATATTCATCCGGTGGTTCACGCCAAATCGGTGCCGACTTTGCTGTCGGTGCGACAATAGCACTGTTTGTTTTATCGAAAAAATACATATACGGCCACAATATATCTGAATCTAATCTATATGTCATTGTTAGATTGTAAAAGTAGTTTTCATCATTCAGTACATGCTTGGTTTCACCGGGTGGTTCCATTAGAGCGAAAACATAAAATTGATTGTCGGCACGCTTGGCAGGCACTGATTCAATCCAGTAAAAAGGCTCTGCAGTATGAAAGACTATCGCATCATACATATCCACAGATGGAAGAAAATCCTTTACATTCGTTATTTCACATTTGTAAACAGGACATAATAGTTCATCACGAAAATACGCTGGACCAAGTGTATCTTCGGGTAAGCTCCACCGTTTATTCCCAAAGAAACTATTCCAAAACAGAATAGTTCGTGTTGAGCCCCGGTTTGTGGTTGGATATTGGGCATACTTTTTAACTAACCGGTATTGGTTGAATTCCGGCATAATTTCCAATACCGTACCCATCACAAATAGAAACACAAGTACAGAGCACAATATACAACAAATTAAAATAGTTCGCCGTCGGTGATAAAACATTTTTGTCACGTATTTTTTCGAAAGCGGGTTTGTAGCGCGCTCGATTAAAGGTACTGTCGTCGGATCCAATGCCTTCTGCATGGTAGCGAGACGTATTTATCACAGCAAAGAACTTTCCGTACTAAATGCAAAACAAACTAAACATTCACTCGCAGGCGTAAGTATGCAATGAAATAGATTAGGAAACATGCGCGGTCAGTAAACGCCATAGATAACATTTTAGACTCTTAATAATTAATAGTTTGTGTGTTGGCTTCACACACATTTCTTGGTGCTCGACGAGCTTTTTTCTTCAATTTAGTGTTTAAAATAATTCCAAAATTTTATCGATAGTTGTGCGTGTTAATATTGAATATTTGCACATTCATGATTTAATTCTAATGACGGGCCTCGATAAGATACCACTCCTGTGACTCTCACACACTCAGTTACTTAACTCTGCAATAAAAACACAATATATAAGAGTATATTTAAGTAAAAATACAATCTGTATATATATATAATTTAAGTAAAGTTCATTCATAATAACAAACTATTTTTTATTCATAGTAAAATTATAAGATTATAAAGTAAAATTAACTCAGAACTCCACTACGTGAGCGTAAAGAAACACATAATTAGAAAAACTGTCAATGCACCCAATGCACCCCTCTGTGTTTATAGTATATTTTACTGAATAAATTAAAAAAGAACCAAATGTTTTTAATTTAAAAGCTAAAATGATTAATTACGGTAGTTTTGGATGAGAAACGTAGTTCATAGCACTCACGGCATTATATGGGGTAATGCACACTTCTAGGCTTATCAGGCCGCTTGAATAAAATCAAAACTTATACTTATACTTAAGGTTCTTATACTAAAATTTATATGGGTCAAATAATCCATTTAGAAAATTTAATTTTCCATAGCTTATGTCCTACACATAAATGTGGTGAAGAATATACAACAATATTGAGGCAGACACAAAAGTTGCACTGATTGAGATTTGATCAACTATCGATATAGATTTGTGGTTGTGGTTGGTCTTTGTGGTTATCAGCTGTGCTTGACATAAGGTTTGTGGAACTGTAGATTTTAATGCGGCTGAACTTTGTGGTTATCATCTGCAGTTATCATCTGTGCTTGGCATGAAGTTTGTGGAACTATAGATTACAGTAAGGATGAACCTTATGGTTGTTATCGGCGGCTAACGTCTGTGCTTGACATAAACTAACTTTGTGGAACTGAATATTCCAGTGTGGATGAACTTTTTGGTAGATATTAAAGTTATTTATTCTGTATGAATTATTTATAACTCATTATGTGGTACTACAAATAATGTAGGCTCTCGATGTAATGAAACATATATCAACTTTCAGACATTTTAAGACTTAAGAATAAAAAACTAATCCTAAAGTAATAATTTATATATCTTTTTATTATTTAAAAAAAAAAAACTTTTTGTTACTTTCGTTTGTCTATTTAGTAATAAAAATAATAAATACCTCAACCTGTATTACCTTTAATAGAATGAATATACGTTCTACGAAAATCCTTGAGTGCATACCTTAAAATCACAATATGAAGAATCGATATGGAGATATCCGTCTATATGTCAATCTTTGTTTAGGCATTGTTTATGTTAATATTTTTAATTGGTGTAGAACTTAAATTGAAAGAAAAAGAAACCCAAATAAGACAAAAAACTTTTCCGAACTTGGAATTTGGGACTGAAATTTTTCATAAATTTTTTAAATATTTAAGACCTTATCGCTTGCATGGTGCATGTACTTTGAATATTTTCACAAAAAACACTATCAGCGATAAATTATGATCAATGGACTTCACGACAGCTTTCACAGTTTCATTCCTGGAGACAATATATTAACAATATACATATATATATGTTCTTTTAATAATTACAATATAGTTAATTCTCCAACAATATTATATATATAGTATAGTATCGTTATAACAAATAGCTTAACAGACTCTATTCACCAAGATATAGAAAATTAAATCAATATATATATAGTAAATAAATATATAGTATAGTATCGTTATAACAAATAGCTTAACAGACTCTATTCACCAAGATATAGAAAATTAAATCATTTATTTGTGGTTCTGTGTCGAGCGCGATTGATAATAGACATTTCAATTTTCTTTATTATTGAAGATATATAGTCCACTCACACAACCAGTCCAATAAAAACCAGCCTTCACCGTTTTTATTCCATATATACCGTTATAGGGTTACAATGTGGAATATTTCAGTAATATTTTTTATTGAAATTTATTTCAAATACGTACATATAAACGATGGTTGGATGTGAGTCTTTCGATCATGGTTTGGCAACTATTACTTAATAAAGATATGATGATTTGTAAGATTGATTATATGTTTTGGATGCCGTTTAAACATCAACTTGGCCTCCACATTCTTAAATAGTCTTTGCGTAAAATTTAGTGTATATACTTTTTAAAAACTGACTCTATTCATTTGACGGAATGTAGAAAATTGAACGTCTATAATATATTCCATAGGTGGCTTATAAGGTCAGCTTACACTATTAAGTTGTTATTGATAAATTTAAATTTGTTTTTTAATTTAATTTTTAATTAAAACAAAATATTGAATTATATAAATAATAAAATTATAAATTGTTTTTCACCAGATGTGTGCAGATTACAATATAGCTGCTATATATAGCAATACGAAATAATCCAAAATCTATTAAAATAGTTTAAATTTTATTACCATTTTCGCTTTTTTTCCAATACTGATAACAATGCGTATTAGTAAATATTTTACCATATGATTTTGAACTGATAAAACCACAATAAAGTATGTAAAAATAATATATGGGACACCAACTGAATAAATAAAAAACGTTGAAAAAGTGAAAATGTACAATTTAGCTTGATTGTAAAAAGATAAAATTTTATTTTAAATATTTAAAAAATATATATTGAGTTATATTGCATCAAATATGATGTCATGAAATTTTCATCATTTAAGGGTTTCTAAAGTCGTCAGTTTTGATAGGTTATAAAAACAATATTTAATTAATTTTTGTAAATATAGAAAACGGTTTAATTTTTTATTTTACAATGGTTCTATCCGACATGACATAGGCTTTTAGATTTCACTTCATTCTATTTTGATGCATCATAAATTTGTCAAAATTTTGGGCCTTCAATAGAATATTTTACTCACACGTTTCGGAGTATAGTATGCTGCTCTTTTTTCAACACCTAATAGAAATAGTTCACACCTGAAACTCCTAACATACTTGAGAGAGATGCTGTGCATTGAAATGCAAATAGTTCGATCATTTTAAAGAAAGTCAGATCTGTCAAACATTTCTGGAATTTGAATTTGTATTCAAAATTCACTCAATATTACAAGAAATTAAATTATGTCTTCCCCTATCCTTAATCAATCATCACCCATCTACATCTAAACCCATGTATGCGTCTTCTAAATCATTTCGTGATATTTGCTTTTAGATCCCAGCGAGTTACAAGAAGAACATCAATATGTTTTCATAATCGCTTTAATAATAAAGTACTTAACTCAGGGATTTACTATATAGTTACTTTATTGCTCAGAACAATGCGTAACTGTCAATATCTATTAGTAATTGCTCTTCTTTTTTGGTATGTTTTTTTTCATATTCGTATTATTTCGTATTATTTCGTATTATTGAAATCATCTTAGTCCCACATTCAATCACCATGCCCTCTATCTAAACACTTGACAGAAGTTATTTAACAATGAGATGACAAGAAACAACGGAATTTGGCGTTTTCTAAATATTTAGGTTAAATTCATTACTCTTATTCTCTTAAACTCTAATATACTTTTATTATATACTCTTATGCGTTGCTCTTATTACAGTTCACTATATGTCATGTTAGTTCGGTGGTCCAGCAAGCAGAAAATACATTCAACTAGCGAGCAGTAATGAGATGAAGTTGAGTTGAGCAGACAGATTTATGATCAACGCATAAATCAACGGCAGGCTCTAGCTACATTAGACAACTACTCTCACTCTCGCCCAATGGATAAAATACATACCCAGCGACTCTAGCTTTACCGTGTGCAGCACTCAAGTAATGCATTTGCTCGACTTCATTCCAGCAAATTTCTAGAATGAGCTGCGATATATTTCTAACTACTGTATTTAGCTACTATTTAGAAAATAGTAGTGAGAAAAATTTTTAATTTAAAAAATTTTTTATTTTTAATTTAGTGTGTTCGTAGGATTTCCATACTGCTGTTTCGTATACCTCTTAATATCAATAAACCAATAGATGTTTATAAATACCACTGATGATAGATATTTGGTATCCGAAACAGCACTACTGTCAACTCAAGAATTCACTTGATTGAAAATTTAAAAAAAAAATTGGGTTGAAAATTTCCTTGTTACTAATCTTGTCTTCTCTTCGATATAGATTTCTTGTCACAGTACAAGAACAGTTTTTAACTACAATTTAATGAAAATGGAATGGACTGAGGAACAGTTTCTATCTATAAATTAATAAAGATGGAACACATTAAGAATATTAGAAGATAGAAAATAAAATCGAGAAGTCAGGAAATTGTGTTACCGTGCTAAAGTCACGAAACCACTCCACAAGTTCGGCGACTAAGTTCCACTTACTATTTCCACAAGTTTTCGCCCTTCATGTGATAGCGGGATAGGAATATAAGAAGAATAAAAAAACAATCTAACATTTTGAATCAAATCAAATTATCCATAAAGTGTTTGAAAATGTTTGACAAAAAAAAGTTTTTACCCAGAATAACTTCTTAGGATATTACAACCATATGGAAGGATATTGAAGGATATTTAAAGATGTACAACAAAAATATCGTTTTTGAGTATTTGTGTGTTTTATATTTTTAATTTTGTTAAATCTTGACTCAACTCACTCACTCAACGATTTCTTTTAGATTCTCGGACCAAGGAATCATCTCCCAAGGTTAAAGTATATTAAAATGTAGCACTATATAATATTTCCTTTAATTTCCTTCAAGACATTAATTTCTGCTTCTAAAAAAAAAAAAACTCTAAAAAAGAACATAATAATGAATCTCAAAATATTGTGAATTACTAATCTACCCATAATAAATATTATGTTTAAAAGAAATTTAAAAAAAAGGATAGAGATATAGGTAGTTTATTATGTCATTAGATTTATTCACAAGATCGGGAACTTAAATCATATGTAATATGATAACATGACTGACATATTTTGAAAATAGTGATTTTTTCCTGAACATATAAAGAGAGGTTAAGCTGTATATTATAGTTATGTATTCATAATTTGTAAATCAAGGGAACTAAAAAGGTTTAGACCAAACATCATTGACCAGACAACGCGTACATCAATTAATTAGGTAATATTAAATATTAAAATAACATGATCGATAAATATTGCATCGA